GTTGAGCCTGTAGCTTACACAACCATTACCTTCTCCAAATTCTCCAAAACGCTGCTACAGCCAGTACAAGTTACCATCTGACCCTTGGGGGGGGGGACACTATGACGTCGTAGTGACCTCACACATCTTGTACATACCATATACATATATATATATATAACACAATTTTAAACATTGTATTTTGGTTGGGTTAGGATAGGATAAATTAGGTTAGGTTAGGGTTGGTTGACCCTCCGTGGCACACCTGTGGACCCTCCGTGGCACACCTGTGGACCTCTCTGTGGCACACCTGTGGACCTCTCTGTGGCACACCTGTGGACCTCTCCGTGGCACACCTGTGGACCCTCCGTGGCACACCTGTGGACCCCTCCGTGGCACACCTGTGGACCCCTCCGTGGCACACCTGTGGACCCCTCCGTGGCACACCTGTGGACCTCTCCGTGGCACACCTGTGGACCTCTCCGTGGCACACCTGTGGACCCCTCCGTGGCACACCTGTAGACCCCTCCGTGGCACACCTATGGACCCCTCCGTGGCACACCTATGGACCTATTTTCCCCTATTGGGAGATATGCATTGCTCTGTTCGAATAGTAAGTAGCACCTAGGTCAGGTTTTCCACTAACGTAACCCGAACATCTGACCATGACCTCTGAACCATGTATTCATATACTTTTGATAATTACTTATATACATATACAGATGATAAAAACAAACGTTTAAATATACAGCTACTACAAAGTGTTTAGTTTTAATATTGCCAGTAGTATGTTCAAAGACCAAACACATTATATTATTTGTTTTACACACATATTTATAAACACATTAAGATATAATGGATTGTGTTGGTGCAGATTTGCCTTGATTAACAAGGTGTATCTCTAAGAAAACGCCATTAACACGCATAGTGGCAAGGACTAAACTGGTATTATCTGAAATTACGTGACACCAACTTGTTTCATCGACACGCAAAATGTCCAGTCATTTAAATGGTTCGAAATGTCTTGTAAAAGTGGTGAAGAGCCATAGTACGGGGGTCACTTGGAGGATCATCATCTGTGATGCTTGCAAACCTCTGTGGTCTAAGGATAGCAAATTTACACCACATAAAGCAAGCATTTAACTCAAATGGTTATATGACAGTGTCTTCATGTTTCTAAAGAAGTGTTTAGTTTTTCCGCACAACTGCCAGACAATGGGTAAACAAACACAAGTCGACAATCATTTAATAGTTGTATTGTTTAGACTGTTCAAGGTCATACAGGGAAGGTAAGGCAACATGTCACTAGCTACCCATTAGACAAAATAGCCAAGAATGACGTTGGTGCGACGTCGAATCAACGTTGATATTTATTCGACGTTGAAGTGACGTTGCTCTTGGATATTGTGCGCACTGGGTGGTGGGAGGTGAAGGCGGACTGGTGGGATCAGCTCCACGCGATCATACTGTGTTAGAGGGACGGCGGACGGCACTACTAGTCCAAGATGAGTGCATGGAATGGGGAACACTGTTATTAATATACTGAAATAACTAAGTGAAAATGAAGCAATAATGGCTAGCGCGTTCATGTATCGTCAGGCGGCTTCACGATGGGTTAACATAATAGACTATCCCAGTCGCTAATAGTATGTATTTTGTGCATTTCTCAATCTGTCTTTGTTCTGTCCTATGATTCGAAACGTTGCTTGATTGTGATGTGTGTGTGTCTCTCATCCTTTTGTGTATATATACCTCAATAAACTTATATTAATTTCAGTTCGAAACGTGCTTCGTTTACTTCCCTTCAAAAACCAAAATTGTATAAAAATTTATTTGAAATATATGCTGTTGTGACTTATTCAGATGTGATATGTACTCCTTTAGACATTAACTCATCAGCCCGTCCTCCTAAGGTTTCCCAACGTCAAGAAAATGTCTTACTAAAGTGCCCTCTCCTAACAAATCAGAGGACATTTTCGACTCGCGAAAATGACATATTGTCCCAAAACAGAAAACGGGACAATATGTCATTTTCGCAAGTCGTTTCCATTTTCTAGTACGACAATTTTTGGCCTTAGGTAGAATATACGTCAAAGTGCGACGTTCTATTAGGGTTACATGCCCGTCGTCGCCCGTAAATCAACAAGAGCAGGAACAGCTTTTAAGCTTCTTCGTACACTACAGGTAAAAAAAAACAATTTTGGTCTTCCCAGATTGTCCTTATAATCTCAGGGTCCTGTGTAACATGACTCAAATAAGTTATTTTTCATTCATATTTGTATTAATTTCCTGGTTAAAGGTTTACATTATGTCTAAAGTTATAGTCACCATTAATTAGTATATGGCAATATTACAATGAATTGCTTTGGAACAATGGTGGTTAATTGTGTACAAAAACAGATTGCTTTATGGCCAACAAAGTTTTGATTGCGACCTATGGTCTTTGCTACTAAGATCCCATTTTTGGGTTCTGATCAATCGTAGAAAGCTGTTTCAACTTCCGTCCAATACAGATCACCATTCGACTGCCTATTTGCCAAACACTGATACTTGGTGGCGATCTGTTACGGACCCGAGTCCATCGTCGGAGCACGGAGCAGTGACGACAACGCCATCTGTGAGTCCGCTCCCGAAATCCCCTCCAAATGGACGACGCCATCTAGTGGTGACAGGATATGCCGGCAATAGGCACTGGATTCCCGTCTTAATTGGCTCGTGGAGTAGCCGCTGCTGACCTCTGGTGAGGTAGTGCTTAGACAGTGAACGCCATCTATGGAGTGAAGAGGTAGACGTTTCTGTCTAAGCTAGTAAGTGATGTTTCCTAGTGGTCCCAGGTAGTGTTCCAGTATACTAATGACGTGTCTGTTTGCAGAGTCGACCTGGGACTGCTGTGTTGGACGATGGATCAGTCTACCCAAGGCAGCCAAGGTCTCTTCACCAATCTGCTTTGAAGAAGCTGTGAGCCATCCCCGGACGAACTCTGTTGAGAGTATAATAGCCTGCCTGAGGAGTGGCAGTGTCGGGAATCGCCTTATACGGGGCTGGCTGGTGGAAGAGACTACCCACTGTGGTGCTGAATGAGGAGAGTGTCCAGCGAGTCACACGAGGCTCCTGCCTAGGGCTCGCAACCCTAGTATCAGTCGTAGAGTGGCCTAAACAGCGAGGCTGATCGGTACCTGCCAGCTACAGGCTGGATTGTGGTTGAAGGCCATCACGACGAAGCACCCAGTGGGACTGTGATTTGGCTGGCCTGTGGCCAGGGTAGATTCGTAGTAGTCATGGTGAATTCATCGTGGGCCACAGAAGAAGGAACCAGGGCTACCCAGAGTGAGCGTGACAGTGTCAAGTGTCTTCAGAGGAAGACTAGACTATATAATAGTGTAGTAATAATTCCTGTCTTTTTTTACATATGGTGGTGGGAATATATATATATATATATATATATATATATATATATATATATATATATATATATATATATATATATATATATATAAAGGGTATAAAGGAATATATATAAGAGAATATACATATATCAGAAAACTGGAGTATTTGTGTACCTCCCCTATTGTTTTAACTTGCATTACGGGGCTCACCCCTTGAAAGCCTCTACTAACTTGGGGCCGGATTCCCAAACTCTACTACCAGTAGGGAGCCGGTCGGCCGAGCGGACAGCACGCTTGACTTGTGATCCTGTGGTCCTGGGTTCGATCCCAGGCGCCGGCGAGAAACATTGGGCAGAGTTTCTTCTCACCCTATGCCCCTGTTACCTAGCAGTAAAATAGGTACCTGGGTGTTAGTCAGCTGTCACGGGCTGCTTCCTGGGGGTGGAGGCCTGGTCGAGGACCGGGCCGCGGGGACACTAAAAAAAAGACCCGAAATCATCTAAAGATAACCTAACCACCAGAGAAGAACCCGGTTGCGTCCCAGTAGGGCCGTAACACGATCTCATTTTAATCGACGATGTTAATAATAGTCCCTAACTGACATCAACCTTTTTAATATGTAATTGTGAGATTGTAACTCATTTTTACCTATCCAAATACCTTCCCCTACACCCTAGTGTAGTGTATTGCAGTATCTTAGTACAACTTCCAGTATCTTTGCTACATTCTACACTCACACATTCTCTCTCTCTCTCTTGGTTGGGTACCCTTCCCTCCGTCTTATCCCAGCTTCTTGTCCTCATATCCCTTCCAAGCGCTGTATAATCGTACTCGCTAATTGCTTTCTTCTCGTAATTACTTAATTCTCTCTGTCCATATCTTAATGTGTGTGTGTCTTCAGAGATACAGTGGGAGGAACGGAGTTCCTTTTTGTCTTGAAGACGCTTTATCATGACGTTAGTATTGAGAAAACCTAGCATAGGAACCGGCTATCAACGACGATTTTAACATATCAATTTTTTTTAAGTAAATACTCCACCATAAATTAAATTATTTTAGAAAATATCATCAGTGATTTCTCTACAAAGTCTGTTGATGCATAATCTGCGTAGGTAAACAATCTTTCTACGCGAATGGGGGCCTGACGGCGGAGTGGACAGCGCTTGGGGTTCGTAGTCCTAAGGGTCCGGGTTCGATCCCCGGCGGAGGCGGAAACAAATGGGCAAAGTTTCTTTCACCCTGATGCAATTGTTCATCTAGCAGTAAATAGGTACCTGGGAGTTAAACAGCTGGTACGGCTGCTTCCTGTGGATATGTGTGTATGAAAATTAGGATTAAGGACCTGTCCGAAACGCTATGTGTGCTAATGGCTGCACAAGAATGTTATATATATATAATATATATATATATATATATATATATATATATATATATATATATATATATATATATATATATATATATAAATAAAAAATATTAATAATAATAGAATATATCACAGCCTACGTAGGTAAAAAATACCACTATAGATAAATTATTAATAATAAAGTATTTAAATGGATATTCAGTTGTAAACAAAAATAGTTTACGCTGAATGTGGGTATTAAGCAACATGTGTTTAATCAATATCCAAGCTTCGCATGTATTTTTTATTCATATGTTTCAACAACGCATCATTTCCAACAGTAGTAGGATACATAAATTTACTATAATTAGAAGAAATCAAATTATATTTCTCTTAATGCGAAATATGGTTCAGCGAGTGTCGTAAATATTTGTTGTAAAATGTTCTCTCTACTAGATATCAAAGTTTATATTGTTTGTTCTGTGTAGTTAATTATGCTTTATGAATATTCTATTTGTTGTATAATTTATTAAATATCTTAAAGTATACGAGACGTGTAGTTTGAAGGACTCTACACATCTCTGAAGTGTATATTGGTAAACTACACATTGTATAGTGATCATCCTCGCCTGGAAACTGCGCTTATTTCCCCAAGGCATTGAATGCCTTGGCGGGTGTGGGGTAGTTGTAGCCGGTGCTGCAGGTGGGCTGGTAGGTACTGGTGGCCGTCACGGTGTTGTACTGCTGGTTGACAACGGTTGAGGTGACGTAGTTGGTGTTGTAGATGGTTGTGGTCTGATATTCAGTGCGGGTCTGGCCTGGCAGCTGCTGGGTGCTGACAGAGGTTCTGGTGACGGTGATATACTGGGTCTGGCCGGGAAGGTTGACCACAGAGGGTACCACCTGCTGGGTGTAGATGGTTGTGGGCACCACCTGTGTTGATACCTGGGTCTTCACTACCTCTTGTGGAACGGTAACGGTCCTGGTAATGTACTCTGGCACCTGTTGTGTACTGTAGTAGGTGGAGACCACCTGCTGTACCTGGGTGCGGGTCACGTACTGTGTCTGGGTGTTGGTGACCACCACCTGGGAGTAGATGGTGGTGGTGACAGGAACCACCTGGGTGGAAGTGATGTACTGGGTCTGGCCTGGCTGGGTGATGGTCTGGGTGACGACGTTGGTCCTGATAACTTGTGTTGTACTGACCACGTCCTGAGCGGGCACCACCACGGTGGAGTAGATGGTGCTGTACTGGGTACTGTCTATGGTGCGGGTCTGTCCAGGAAGCTGCAGGGTGCTGGTCACATACTGGGTCTGGTAGACTGTGCTGATTACCTGCTGAGGAACCACTTGTGTAGAAACTTCAGTCCTGGTAACTGTTGATGGTATTTGCTGAATGCGGGTCGAGTATACGGTCTGGTATTGAACCTGTGTGTTGACGACTTGTTGCGTCTGTGTGACGTAGTTGACCTGGGGAGGTAGAGTGATGACCTGTGTGCGGACGTTGTCCTGGGTACGGGTGACGGTCACTGTCTGGTACTGGATGGACGGCACCACTTGCGTTCTGACGATCTCAGAGTAGACGGTGGTGTAGACCTGCTGAGTGCTGACCGACGTCTGAGTGACGTACTGTACGTCACTCTTGTAGACGGTGGAGGTGATGACCTGGGTGGAGTACTGCGTCTGTGTACGGTAGACGGTTGAAGGCTGGCAGGGCTCTTCTCGTGGTGGAAGGTAGCCGCCCAGAGATGACTGGAGGTCGAGCGCATTACCTAAAAGCTGTCGCCTTGGTCGATCCACGGAGGCTGCCAGAGCCCAGCCCACCAGTAGCAGCAGCAGCAGCGCTCTCATCCTGGGGAACCATTTGCATTAGTAATTTGTCATTCTTTTCATAACATACACAGTCCGCAACCTCATGAGTTTACACCTCTGGAAGTTGGAAGAAAATTGAAGACTAGGACACGACCTTTAAACGTATGAAGGCAAATGAAAAGATGGATAAGGACGATTTTATTACTGGAGTTACTGACAACTACTTGACGTCTAGGATATTTGTATTGGCGTTATATATCCTCAGTTTATTGGGGTGAGGACGCATCACACGGGAGAGAAAAGTGAATAATTATCTTACAAGGTTTTATATTTGTGTAATATAATGTATGTATACATGTCATTAATAATAAAATGAAATAATTATTTCACTCAATACAGTATATCATTCACAACATACAGCATGGTGCTACATAGCCTTCCCGGCTTGGTGCCTTCTTTGATAATTACTTACAACATACAACACTACGGATAAACAGTCATTAGCACTTCAGTAGTTATTCTCAGGAGCAAACCTCCGCTTCAAAGACAAGGTGTACGAGGCTCGCGGATTATCGTGTGCGTTACATTCTAATACAACCTTTTCCATCCAGTCTTTTATGCTGTGGCAGGTGTTGTGTACACTCACTCCCGGCTGCTTCACACACTCGCCACATCTAACCAACTTCCTGGTCTTCCTTCTCTCCTACCCCTAATATGTTCTCTAATACAGTCTTCACCAGTCTACCATCGTCCATTCTTTCAACATGACAAACCACCTCAATATGTTCTCCTCTGTCTTGAGGACTGTTGTTTCTCACACAGCATCTTTGTGATGTTATTCCTCTTACTGTTGTCTGCTCTCCACACATCATTATCAGATGTTGCTACTGCTACTCCGAGTCTTGATTTGTCACGTTCATGCCACACGTCGTCTTCCACCCATACATGCACATCTCTGGCTACCATGTACTCATATTTTGGTTTTCATTACTATGGATTTCATTCATCAACCCTTCATTTCATTCATTCGGCCTTCACTGACTGGCCCTACTCTCAACTTCAAGAAGTTCTCAAAAAAAGCTCAAGAAATTCCTCTTATCAGTTCAACATCTCCGATATATGAAGTGATAGACCACTTTCAGCACTTCATTATTCACATATATTTCACACAAAGAATATATCTCTCTCTTCAGCGCAGTCGGCTCTCAACCGATGGAGCAGAGTTCGGGCAAGGAGAGACGTTTGGAAATGTTTCTTTACACTTGACTGTGTCTGCTCACCTATCAGTAAATAAGTACCCAGGGGTTAGGCAACTGTTATGGGGTTGAGTCTGCTGGAAAAGGACTGTCGTTGACCTTGTGAGACCAGACCACACACTAGAAGGTGAAGGGACGACGACGTTTCGGTCCGTCCTGGACCATTCTCAAGTCGGACAAATCGTCGTCCCTTCACTTTCTAGTGTGTGGTCTGGTCAACATACTTTAGCCACGTTATTGTGACTCGTCGCCTGCACCTTGTGAGCCTTATCAAGTTTAAAAAGCCTCCTGTCCTAGACATTGAGAAACCATAACTTTATTTTTGTTCACGTTCAGACTTAACAGTTGTGTGTCACATCTCTCGGTACACTTGCAGTCTACCTAACTCACTCTACCTACATGTAGGTCAGCGATCACGCACGCACACGCACACACTACACACGCATGAGAGAATGTCTTATACGTAAACGTATTTTGCAAATTTGTACCTGCATTTCAATAATTGAAAACCTTACCTGTATGGAAGTTAGTTGATTCTTGTGTGCTGGAATATAGTTAAAAATGTATAATTTATTCTTTGTTTATTTTTGTAACTAACATAAATAGAAAGAGAGACCCTTGTAAATTTCGCATACAGAGATGATTGTCTTTCAGACCATTTCGTTTACTTCAGATGAACTTGTGAATGTTCGTGGTGCTGCTGTGCCTCTTGTGCGTAGTGTTCCCTCAGGTATATTTTCCAGCAGATATATTTTCCCTCGAATATCTTTTCCCCTCAAATATATTTCCCCTCGGATATCTTTTCCCTTAAATATATTTTTCTTTAAATACCCTTTCCCTCAGATATCTTTCTTTATATATATATATATATATTTTCCCTCGGATGTCTTTTCCCGCAGATATCTTTATGTTGTCATATCACCAAAATTGTTATTTGCCGAAGTTAAAGGGAGTTGCAGGAGCGTTGTAGTTGTATCCTGTCTGGCCACAGGTGGCTGTAATGGTCTGTGTGACGGTGACTTGTCGTGGCTGGTTGACTGTCTGGTAGACGACCTGTTGTTGCTGCTGTGTCTGAACCACCTGTTGGGTCACCACGCGGTCCTGGCCAGGCACTTGGACCACCGAGGTCCGGGTTTCCTCACGGGTCTGGACCACAGGGGCGGGGGTGACATATTGGGTCTGGACCACGGTCTGCACCTGAGTGAAGGCTTGCACTCGGGTCTGGTAAATGGTGGTGTAGATGGTAGTGGGCACCACTTGGGTTCTCACCACCTCCTGTGGAACCACTTGGGTGCTGACTTGAGTCTGAGTGACAACGTTGGTGCTGGTGACCACTTGCTCGAGGGTAGTGTAAGCATTTTCGTAACGGGTGTTGACAGAAGTGTAAGGGATGACTTGTTGACGCTGGACCACGCTCGTCCTGACAACATCCTGCTCGCGGTAGACGCTTGTCTGTACCACTTGTTGCACGCCTGTTGACGTCACGTAACGCGTGTTGGCCGGCTGTTGACGCGTTGCGATGGAGGTCTGAACCACAGTCTGGACCCGGGTCTGTACTACGTCACGGCCGGGGACTGACACGACTTGGGTCTGCTGTCGTGTTTGAGTCTGGTAGTTTGTGACGAGCTGAGGGACTGTCTGCACCTGTGTGCTAGTCACCTCCACAGGTACGACCTGTGTTTGCACCTGTGTGCTGGTGACGTAACTGACCTGTGGGACTACACGTGTTGATGTGACATAAACAACTTCCTGACGTGGTGGGCTTGGAACAGTTTGTGTCACAACTCTGTCATTTAACAAGGTTGTTGTTTGCTGGACCACACTGGTCTGGTACTGAACCTGAGTTTGAACGCGAGTCTGGAAAAGAGTAGTTGGTACGACCTGTTGTGTGACCAGGGTGGTGGTGGTGTACTGTGTGTTGATCTGGTCTACGGTCTGGACATTAACGGAGGTCTGGACTCTGGTGTCATAAACCACGGAGGTGACAGGTTCACAGACCGTGTCCTCTCGTGGCGGCAGGTAGCCTCCCTGAGGAGTGGCCGAGGCCAGGGCCGCCACCAGCAGCGTCGCCGTCAAACGCCACATCCTGCAAAGAGAAATGCCACAGGTTAGAGCAGCGGTGATTGGAACCCCCGCGTCTCGGCAACTCATTTGGGAATAAAGTCCAATCACGCGCCGCTCCCTCTGTGCAATTTCTCTATGCTTTGTGGGCTGACCCGAGAGGACTTTATCGCCCAGATGAGCCGCGAGACGCTTACCTGGTCAAAGTTTTTCACGAAACCAAATTTTAAGTATATATATATATATATATATATATATATATATATATATATATATATATATATATATATATATATATATATATATATAATATCGAGTAATGAAGCAGGCTTTGTTACTCGAAGCCTGCACTAAAGAGGCACCCTTCTTGAGCCCCGATGGGCACATGTATAAGCAAGTAGATGGGGTCGCCGTGGGTTCTCCCGTAGGTGTCCTGTTTGCGAACTTCAAAACATTTGTATCCTATCACCTCACCCAAAAACGAATATAAGCACAATCTGAGTATGTAAAATTGTCTTTGAAAATGTAAGAAGCGTTCTTGTGTAACGCTTCTAGGCGTCAGATCATAAATAAAGTTATGAAAATGAACTTTGGAGAGTTAATTTTTCAACTACCCCTGACAGTGAAGAAAAACATAAGAAATATTGAGAAGATTCGTGCTAGAATCATTAATCTTGCATGAAAGCGCAAGAATATTTTAACAAACAGAACACTTCCCCTATGAGAGAAGGAAAACTTGGGCCAGCCGGGTTTGTTTGTCAGTGAATCGCATCAAATACCTTTACCCATTTTCTTTGGACACTACACATATTCTATTGGAAATTAGAAAACGTTTCTTGCTTTACTTTCTATAAGGAATGTTTAAAATATATTTTAAGGTGCATCATAATAGCAGTGAGGAATATGCTCTATGTAAATTTTGAATATGTACAATTTCTTGGATATAAAGGATGCGCTCTTGCATTTGTTCGTCAAATGTGAGTGGTCACGCAGGCTGTTGCTGCATCACATCAGTAAGTTATTTGTAAATAAAACGAGGTTCACAGTAAAGAGCAGTGGACGTTAGCACGTTTCGTTAGCTCTTGGGGTTGTGGTGGGGATTTCCGGGATTAATTATATGTACGAGCAACGAAGGTCATTATGAGAGAGAATGACAAATGTTGGTGTGCTAAGTCTTCTGGTCTGGTGCACCTGTCAGGCCATGTGGTTGAGAGTACTTAAGTGTTAACATGTTGGGAAGAAGCTGTGAAGACGCAAGCGGAGATGCTCCCCAGGCCGGAGGAGCAGCGTACAGCAGGTGAGAGGTGAGGCTGAGTATAGGAGGCGGGGGGCAGAGGGTCACTGAGAAGACCCGAGTGAAAGTTATTCCTTACTGCACAAAGCAACACCTTCACTTGTATTCACTTTCAAAATAAACACTTCGAGAATTAAAATCTCACTGTAAACTGGAGATTGGCTTGGTGGGGATCACAAGTATTATCCGCGGTGGCTGTAGTCGCTAGAGGCGAGCGTAAAGCAAGTGCCATACACACACCCCTCCCCGTGTCAAGAGAGACCAACCTTGTCTTTTTCCTGTTGAGCAGAGCAATGAGGAGGAGGTGTCGGTGACGGGAGGCGAGGGAGTGTGAGGCGCCCCTGCGGGACAAGTATATATACATGAGCCCCGCTGGAGAAGGGCCGGATGGGGAAGGACGCGTTCTTGGGCACGAGGGAAGGGGTAGGGAGAAGATCAGGGACGGGGGGAGGGAAAGGTGGATGAGGGAAGGGCGGAGGAGGAGGAGGAGGCTGCAAGAGGCATGAAGAAGAGAGGGGCAAATGAGAGCTGCGCTCTGGCACGCAGGAAAGCATGAACATCATTTACAGTTTGCTGTGTGCTTATTCCCTATTAATTCCAGCGCGCTTCATCTAATGCTGGCGTGAGAAACTTCGGCATCCGGTAGCAACACGCGGCTGTTCTTGCAATGGCTGTCTTTTGCTCAAGTGTTTAGCCGACTAAGGTCTGTATTTTGGCACGTGGATGTTAACTCGATGACTGCTCCGTTGAGTGACCAGTTTTTGTGGAATTATGGAGGACGAGTCATGTTTACAGAGAATCATCCTTTCTTTCTCTCTCTCTTTCACTTTTCCTAAATTGATAAATATGAGGTTGCATTTAACCTTCTTCCTGGGCTGAAATATGAAGGCCAGCAGTTGCTCACTGTAACTTGTTTTATGCACAAAGTTCAGGTCTTGATTGTCTGCTGAGAGGGATTCTTCTCCGGTGATGCTCGGGGCTTTTTCTAATGGCTTTTCTTGAGTTATTTATCTATTAGAGCTGCTATGGCATGTGTGCTCTAATAGCTTTTGTCTTGGGCTTTCTTGTAATGCCATGTTGACTTTTTACCTTTAATGGCTGCATTAATACTTTTTATCGCGGTCTACCACCCAACACAACACTGGATTACGCAAAACAAAGCATAGCGATATATTACATAACAACAACAGAAGATTATAGCACCACCAACACAGCATTGTACATATAGCAACACAGCATAGCACTCACCATAGCAACACAGCATAGCACTCACCATAGCAACACAGTATAGCACTCACCATAGCAACACACCATTGCACTCACCATAGCAACACAGCATAGCACTCACTATAGCAACACAGCATAGCACTCACCATAGCAACACAGCATAGCACTCACCATAGCAACACAGCATAACACTCACCATAGCAACACAGCATAACAAACCTCTCCTTTCTATTTTACCGGCTCCCCATCCCCTCCCCAACAGTGTAGTCAAGAGTTCCCTGAGGATCAAGTATACTGTACTAATGCTAACAGTATCTTCAAGACAAATTGAAAAAGGCTCGTGAGACAGACCCCGATGTAATAGCAATAGTAGAGACATAACTAAGATGTAATGACAGCGGAATTGATTTTCATAGGTTGCCATATTATAAGGAAATAGAGTAGGGGGCCCTGTTCTGCTAGTGGAGTGGGGGGCACGGTTCTCCTGGTGGAGTGGGGGGCACGGCTCTCCTGGTGGAGTGGGGGGAGGAGGTACACGGTTTTGCTGGTGAAGTGATAGGTTCAGCTTGAAGAAATGACCATTATAGACAGTAACCATATGTCCAAATTAGTTTGTTCTAGTTTTTGTGGTGAAAGCTTAATTAATTTGTATGCATTTTGTGTTAAAATGTTTTCTTTTTATCACATTAATATTCCCTGTGTTAAAATCATCAGTGTGTATGCTTTAATCGTGTCTTCCCAGACTCCTCCCATTAAGGGGGAGAAGCGTACTTAATTGGTTCTCCACAAGAAAGGTTCCTAACTCTTAAGATTAACTTTA